GATTTTGATTGGGAAAAAGCTTTCAGTGGTCATTTGATGACCATTAGTAATCACAATTTTTAGTTTTACTTCTTTAAAAAAAAAACACTTTATAGCACTATTTTCCTCTACAAATGAGGAATCTGAGGCACAGAGGGATTTAATAACTTGCTCAGACAATTAATAATGGTAGACCCAGAATTTGAACCCAGATGTTCTTACTGTGGAGCCTATGCAATCCACAGATTTTTATTCTTCAGAGTGATCCTTCAAAAGAGGTGTTTTGATGAATTGACCTTTATATCCCTACTAAATATGAATTTCCCCTCTTGACCTCATCTAATTCAATGTAAAGGAATAAAATACAATTGATCTTGTGGTTCTTCTTGATTGCCCTTTTGGTGAACCAAAAATGTGTCCTTACATTTTAATTCTTCTTAGTCCTTGCAAACAGGGTGAATAACAGAAAAATATTGCTTCTCTTCTATGAATAGTACATTCTCTGGACTAGTTATCTAGGCTTCATCCTCTGAACATTAATTACCACAGCTATACTGTAAAAATAATATGAAGACAGCAAAGTGGAAGACTACATATACCTTTGCAGTATAAATCTAGCCACACATGTTCTATGTAAAGAGAAAACATTTATGAGTATTCTGAAGGAACATTTATATGCTTATAAATAACATTGCTGGTTTACTTTGCTTAGAGTGAATGCTGGAGGACAGTTTTGTAGTCTGTGCAAGGATTCAAGATGGGAATCATCATATATGCCTGTTAGATCAGTAAATTTCTAAAGTTGTATTTTGCATATGGGTGTGGCAGTTTCCGGAAAAATACTGCTTCCTCCTGGTTGCCTGCATATTGTCAGCTTTTAAGAATCAAAGCAGATTAAACTTTGCTAATATGCTCCATAATTATTTTTCAAAGTTGGGGTTTGTCCCATTTCTCTGGAAATTCATACTTGGATTTGTCCTGAACATAACCACTGATAGACTGTTTAGCACTTATATCGGGTTTTTGTTTTCAGGATTTCATAATCATTGCCTTTTAATCCATTTAATACCCCTGTGAGGTAGACAGATATATTTAAGCGTCTAAGTTTCCTGTGGGCAGATTTCAGTGCCAGCATGAGTATTGTGATTGGTCCTGAGTTTCATTAACTTCCCAGAGGCCAGACACCTGGAGAGGCTTTCCTCCAGGTCAAGGTACATGCCCGTGTGTCAGCCACAGGGCACTGCCTCCTACTCCTCTTCCTGTTTTGCTAAGATTCAGTGACTGCATCTACCATTAACCACAATGCTCTGCCCACTGTGTCTGTCTGCATTAAAGCCACTCTGAAAGAGTATGTTTTGAAAGATTCTTAGGGAACCCAACAAACATTTGTTCTGTAAAGCTATGGTTTTTCCAGTAGTTGTGTATGGATGTGAGAGTTGGACCATAAAGAAGGCTGAACGGAATTGATGCTTTTGAACTGTGGTGCTGGAGAAGACTCTTGAGCGTCCCTTGTACTGCACGGAGATCAAATCAGTCAATCCTAAAGGAAATGAACACTAAATATTCACTGGAAGGACTGATACTGAAGCTGAAGCGCTAATACTTTGGCCACTGATGCGAAGAGCTGACTCATTAAAAAAGACCCTGATGCTGGGAGAGATTGAGGGCAAGTGGAGAAGGGGGCAACAGAGGATGAGATGGTTGGATGACATCACCAACTCGATAGACATAAGTTTGAGCATACTCTGGAGGATAGTGAAGGACAAGGAAGCCTGGTGTGCTGCAGTTCATGGGATCGCCAAGAGTCAGACTTGACTTAGCGACTGGACAACAATGACAACACAACAAATTTCAACTGTTTACACTCCAGTCGAGTGTAAACTCCAGCAAAGATACTTTTCATTCAGTAATAACACTCATGGCTCCAACTAAGTACTTAGGTTAATAAATGAGCACCAGAATTTCTATTTTAGGAGTTTGTAATATATTCAGGTAGGCAAAAGGTATGTGTACCTAATGATTCAATCATCAACATGGCATCAATTGAAATATAAAGTTGGCAGTTTTATGTTGTATGCTTATTTGTACCAGGCTCTGTGATAAAGATAATACATGCATTATCACAACTTTGTGATGTAGATACTATCATCCCGGTTTACAAACAGTGAAAACCAAGGCTAGTAAGTTGACCACATTCATAGAACTTCTGACTCCTAGATAAAAGGTAATGTATAGAATCTTAAAGCTCTAGGGCAGTACACAGCAAAGGAGTGGTAATAATAGAGTGGAGTATATAATAAGGCACATTTTAACTTGTTTATGTATAAAGTAAAACAAAACCACATAAAAGAATTGGTTTTACACATGTAGTAATTTACATCTTTTTACCTTTCTCGGCACTTTTAAACTTTTCTAGCACTTGCTTCAGTGAAAGTATTTGTATGTTTTCCCTTCCACCTTGTTGATAATTTCTTGAAAGGATGACTGTGTCTTATTTATCTTGTAATTGTACATATTAAATAATGCTTAATACCTTAAATCAATTGGGTGCTCAGGAATTACTCAATAAGCTTTAGAAATTAGTAGAGCTTTTACGCAGAGATAAACCAATGCACCTAAGGACAACTTATCTTTGACAAAGGAGTCAAGAATATACAGTGGAGAAAAGACAGCCTCTTCAATAAACATTGCTGGGAAAACTGGACAGCTACATGTAAAAGAATGAAACTAGAACACTTCCTAATACCATACACAGAAATAAACTCAAAATGGACTAAAGACTTAAATGGAAGGCCAGAAATGATAAAGCTCCTAAGTGAAAACATAGACAGTACACTCTTTGACATATATCACAGCAAGATCCTCTTTAATCCACCTCCTAGAGTACTGGAAATAAAAACAAAAATAAACAAACGAGACCTAATTAAACTTAAAAGCTTTTGTAAAGAAAAGCTTTTGCAAAGGAAACAACAAACAAGATTGAAAGCCAGCCCTCAGAATGGGGGAAAATAATTGCAAATGAAACAACTGACAAAGGATTAATCTCTGGAATATATAAGCAATTCATACAGCTCAATACCTGAAAAACAAACAGCCGTATCAGAAAACGAGCAGAAGACCTAAACAGACATTTTTTTCCAAAGACATACAGATGGCCAATAAACACATGAAAAGATGCTCAACATCATTAATTATTAGAGAAATACAAATCAAAATTACAATGAGGTATCACCTCACTCCAGTCAGGAAAAAATATACAAACAGTGAATGCTGAAGAGGGTGTGGAGAAAAGGGAATCTTCTTGCATTGTTGGTGGAAAAGTGATATAGCCTCTATGGAGAACAGCATGGAAATTCCTTAAAAAACTAGAATAAAACTACCATATGACCCAACAGTCCCATTAATGGGCATATAGCCTGAGGAAACCATAATTGAAAAAGATACTTGTACCCCAGCGTCCATTGCAGCACTATTTACAATAGCTAGGACATGGAAGTAGCTTAGATGTCCATTGGCAGATGAATGGATAAAGAAGCTATGGTACATATATATACAATGGAATATTACTCTGCCATGAAAAGGAATGCATTTAAGTCAGTTCTAATGAGGTGGATGAATCTAAAACCTAATATACAGAGTGAAGTCAGAAAAAGAAAGACAAATATCATATATTAATGCATGTATGTGGAATCTAGAAACATGGTACTGATGAACCTATTTGCAAGACAGTAACAGAGGTGCAGACATAAAAAACAGAATAGTAGACATTGTGGGGGAAAGAGAGGGTGAGACAAATTGAGAGAGTAGCATTGAAACATATACATTACCATGTGTAAAACAGACAGCCAGTGGGAATTTGCTGTATGATGCAGGGAGCTCAAACCTGGTGCTCTGTGACAACCTTGATTAGCGGGATGGGGTGGGAGGTGGCAGGGAGGTCCAAGAGCTGGGGGGGACATGTGTATACCTGTGTTGATTCATGTTGATATATGGCAGAAACCAACACAACATTGTAAAGCAATTATCCTTCAGTTAAAAATACATAAATTTTTTAAAAAGTAGCAGAGCTTAATCCATGGCTAATTCATTTCAATGTATGACAAAAACCACTGCAATGATGTAAAGTAATTAGCCTCCAACTAATAAAAATAAATGGAAAAATAAAAAAAAAAGAAAAACTGTAAGAAATCTAAAAAAAAATAAAATAAAAAGTAGCAGAGCTTTTAATTGAAAAAGAAGTACCTGTATATACAAAACATTTAAATGAAACTAAAGAATCTCTCCTATTTAAGATTTATAGATACCTAGTTCTCCCCCATTATATGTTCCAGTTTCTTGTGGATCATTTCAGAAATATTCAGTATATGTATTTGTGTGTGTGTGTGTGTGTAGGTAAATGTACATTCACATTACACCTGAATTGATTGTCTTAGATTATGATAATTAAGTCCTAAATACAGAATTAATCATAGCACTATATGCAGAATATACTTTGATAATAAAAATCATTTATTAAATGCATTATAAAATGCATAAATGGGTAACTATGATTGTACATCTAAGAAAAATTTATGTATGGCTTTAACCATGTCCTTGAAAGAATGTAATTCCAATATAAGATAGTTATAATTTAGATGCTTTAGGGTTGCTAAGTTATATATGAGGGAAAATTAACTTTAGGAATTAGATGTAAAGATCATGGTAAGATTAATATTTTCTTTGGAGTTTCTCTATACTTTCAAGTGTCTTTCTCACAACTGGTAAAATTTACAAAGAGCCATTATGTATGAAGGAATGAGGCAGTATTTGGAAGAAAAGAGTTATATTTTGCTGTAGCATACAACTGTATTTTGTAAAATGATAGAAGATAATACTAGGTTATAATTCATCTTATGTGTTTCTGGTATAAATATGAGCTATGAAAAATAGTTCTTCATCTGCCAAAAAGAGAGAATTTGAGAACCTTATACATTTTTAAAAGTTAAGTTGCTAATTCTTTGTTTTTTGTTTTCTAATTGTAGGTTTTAGTATAAAAGCAGTGCCATTCCAGAATGCCATCTTGAATGTAAAAGAACTCGGAGGTATATCATATATCTTTTCTGTGTCTGACTCTGACTTCTAAGTTCATATTAATGTGTTGCATATAATTAAAACATGATGATGATGTATTATTCTAGGAGGTGACTTATTTTTACCTTTTCTCTTGATAATACATTTCCTAGAAATATTTTTTTTCTTTATATATATTTTAAAGGTAGTTGAAGAGTTCTAATTGACATAATCATAATGTATGTTTGTTTATGTAGTGCTACACTACTAGTGCCATTTCATACTCTATACTTGTTGGTTTTACTTATGAAATTTATTCTTGAATGGAAAAAATGAAGAGAGTTTTAGTATAATCATAGCAAAAAGCTATACATTATGCAAAGAACTGTAGTTTAGAGTAGTTTGTATTCATATTGCAGGTTTTATTGCATTAGATCTTTTTAGAATGTGTTTCTTCTGATAATAAATCTTTGCCAATAGGTTCTTTGTTGGTCAAGCACATTTATTGGATAGGCTTTACCCCAAACTATACATCACTCAGTCTTTCATTGCACTCTCTGTCTGGGATTTTTTTTATTGTGTTTTATGTTGGTCAGGGTCTTAACCCATGTAAGTAGGTTAACAAAGGAATCAGTCAGTTCAGTGAACCTGCTAAGTTCTCTAATGGCATAGGAAAATGATAAGTCCTCTGGAGTTCAGTATAGTATGGGTGAGTTTAATGACTTAGAAGAGAGTTCTCTTCCATCTCTTTAACCACTTTGTGATATTGACCTTACTCTGTTTTTTTTTTTTTAAGCTCATTCTGTGACCTATTATTAGATTGATGAAATTAAAACCCAGACCTTATGCCATCTTAATAGTATTTTTATGCCTTCTTATTTTTATGTAATGTATTGGCTGATCTTTCCAGGTTTACTTCTGTCAGACTGTTTTATAGCCACTTTGACTTTTATAGTATTAATATTTAAAATAAACTGTGGTTGATAAATTCTGGTTTTTCTTTGACATTGGTTTTGTCATTTTGACTGAAAAAATGATAAAACATGAATGTTCTTATAATAGAAAAATTTTCTGTGCAAAAATTTTAAGACTTGTATTAAATATTTTAATATTACTTTGTGACTTCAGAGAACATAGTGTAAACATCCATGGAATCAAACTGAATGGTTTGAGAATTCTATTATTTTTAAATATCATTGATACTTAATATTATTATTACTAGGCTAGATGCAAAATTTTTATTAAATACCTTTCAAATGTAAGAAACTTGATGAATTAAGATGTTTATTATTGATGTTTACTTCGATGATATAAAAAATGTATAATGCATCTTAACAGTTTTTCAAAAGTCCAGAATTTATTATAATCTTAACTGTGCCATTGAAACTCAGTACAATTCAAAAGATCAAATTAGAGGAAAGGGGTGTATAAGGTGGGAATCCATCTGTTCCCAAGCAGGGTTTAATTTTGCAGGTTGTCAATCCAGGCGAAGATTCTGAAATCAAGGAAGAAACTCAAGAAGATAGGTGTAAAGGTAGGCAGATAATAAGAGCCCGAACTGTGCTGAAGTTTGGAATGCTCTGAAAGTTCTGCTTCTCCTAGGGTTAATTCAGGAGATTGGCCCAGCCCGTTTCTCCCTTCTGATTCCTTCTTCTACCCTTTTCACATGGTTCCAAGGCTTTCCATCACCTGCTCCTAACCTCTCTTATATTTCTTACTTCTTCAAAATAGGAAGAAGCGTGAGCTTGTGTTCATTATCTAGTAAGAAATGGTTTAGAGTGAAATAACAATGACTAATGGAGTTAAATGAAAGTCACTTTTGGTAGATCTTACTATAAATAGCAAACCTTATGTTTATACACACACTGATATGTGTGTGTGTACTACCTAATTTATATTACAGAGAATTCTATGCTATTTCAATTTTTTCTTTTATGAGGATATTTCTTATATCTTGCACCTAAAAATTCCTGTAAATTTCATTCATAGCAATTTTCTCAAATGATGTTTTCCTACTGTTCATGCAGTCATTCTAGCACAATTATTTATGTGTCAAGCATGATTCTAGGGACTGGGAATAAACAATATTTACAGAGACCTGTGGTTCAGTGATAGAGATGTTCATGAAAACCAATATTTGAAATTAATTTTGAAAGTAATGAAATTAAGAGGGAAGTAAATATAAAGGATGAAACAAAGAGACAATCCAGCCTGGGGTATGATGGGTGAGTCCTGTTTACACTATTTTGAAAATGACCTGTTCTCCTCATCTTACCTGTCCCACTCATCAGGCTGTACCGATTACTCTAGAATTCTAAAATTTCTTCTGTTTTCTCTCCGCACACATTCTCACTTAATCTTTGCAACTTCATGCCTAGAGAGTAGATGCTGTTATTATCTGACAGATAGTGAGACACAGGACACCTAGACACAGGTCAAGTGGTTTGTTCAAAGTTAGTTGGAGAAGGATTTCTGGGAGTTGATCTGAACCCTTGCGCTTAACCAGGGTACCCTGTAACTGAAGTATTTTGCCCAGTGCCTGGCACAAGAGAAGTGCTCCCAGGTGTTGTCTGCTGCTGTTCTTACCACTATTATATGAACAATTTAAAGTTTTCACATGTTGGTATTATTTTCATTAACACATGTGTGTTGATTACACATGAACACTCCACTCTGCTCAAAACTGTAGGATGTTATCCCTAATCATTGCAGCTGCTTTTATTATTCATTTTCTGTCTTACTCTCTTTATTTAGCAGTCAAGTCAACTCTTCCTCCATTTTAATTGTGACTCTAGTGCTGTAGTCGTGCTTTCCTCTTCTGATTTCTTCAAGACTGCCTTCTGAAGCAGAGTCTTAACTTATTCTAGGTAGTTTCTAAAACTTATAGAATCTACCATAAACTTGTCATTTTCATACTCTTTTATTTTTTCTAATTCAGTTAACAAATATTTATTGAATACATATTATATGCTCAGGCCAAGTTCTAGAAAATGTTGGTGGTTATAGTGTCAACACAAGCACAGTCCCTGCATAGATAGGCTAATCAACACAAAGGGAGACTCTTAACGTGAACTAAACTTCTCTCCTTGAATTAAAGCCAAATATTTCTTCTAGGCCTAAAACAAAGTTCTGGGTTAATCCCTTCCATACTGGAAGGAATTCATTTTTTTCAACACCATCCAGTTCTGATCCTTACGGAGGTCATTCCGTAGTATCTCTCAGTGAAATTTTTTTTCCTGCATATTCTTTAATTTGGAAAGTCTTTTTTAAACTAATCTATATCCTTTCTCCTTCAGCTTTAATTAATTACTCTGCTTGTCTTGTTCTATTATTTTTATTTTTCTGGATGTTGTGCAAGACACCAAGGAGGATCCTGGATAGACAGAAAGATTAATCTTTCAAAGGTTTTTCCTTCCTCCTGGTGACTTGTTTCTAAGCTCAGCCATTCTCTGTGGTTCCAGATAAGTCTGCTTCCCTGTATCTTTGTTTCCTTACCTATAAATTGTAGTACTAATGGTCCCTATATCATGTAATCCTTGTGAGGACCAAATTAGTTAATGTAGGTCGAGTACTTAGAAACTGTCTGGCCCTAACATTTCTGGAAGGTTTACTTTTATTATAGTTATACCCTCACTCCCTCACACCCTACAATTTCAGATCAGTCGCTCAATCGTGTCAGACTCTTTGCGACCCCATGAATCGCAGCACGCCAGGCCTCCCTGTCCATCACCAGCTCCCGAAGTTTACTCAAACTCATGTCCATTGAGTTGGTGATGCCATCCAGCCATCTCATCCTCTGTTGTCCCCTTCTCCTCCTGCCCCCAATCCCTCCCAGCATCAGGATCCTTACACCCCACAAAAGCACCTTTGAATAATGCCTTTTTCATCCCTAGTTCTCTGAATATAAAACAAATCACATGATTTTTTTCCTTTGTGGTCATATCTCTCTCCCATATATGCATGGTGTTCTATCTGAAAGTCACTGAAAGGGACCTCGTTGGCTTCTTGGTTATCTGCCCAGCATATTTTTTGCCACTGCACATGTGTTAGTAGTAAATGTTTTTGTCCTTTTCCACCTAATCACCATTTTTCCCTTTTCAGATTCCACCAGAAAAATCTCTTGTCTGTCTTAGTGCCTCTCAGTTGCTTTCATTCTGTTTGACTTATGTATTTTAACCACATTACTAAGGTAAGCAAAGCATCTGGCGTTTAACTGAGTTGGACACAGTAGTCACTGCAGTGACATCATAGCACTGATAATTTTTCATCTTAGAAATGTCCAGTTCTTAAATCTACGAATAGATTTTTATACCTTCTTAGATGGCTTTCTCTTGATTCTGAAATTTTGTTTACAAATTGATAGAATTCAGAGAGGAAAATTTTCATCTCTTAACACATTTGGTTTGTTACCACTTATTGATAAGGATCCAGACATCATAATATTGCTTTTTCTTTCTTGAACTGAATTCTGGAACCAACCAAAAAATGGTTGGTTTTGCCAAATTACTTGTTTTCTTCCCTTTAATATTCTAATGAGTTATGTCTGAATTGTTTCCCCACCCCCCTCTCTTGGCCATGCTCTCCACCCAAAATACTCTTTGGCCATCTTATCTTCCCAGTTGACTTTGGGGAAGGCAGGGCAGAGCTAAAAATCAGTGAGCTATCTTTCACACTTCAGGATTCATTGCTGTTAGTTGCCAATCAAAAGGGAAGATAAGAGGATTTTTGTTTGCACTTTCTTTCCTTGAGAAGAAGGCGGTGAGGGTAGTATGGAAAGTGCAAGTTGTGTTTATTCACCCATTTACTTCAGCCCATGCAATAGTGACTGCATGATTTTTGAGGGTTGTCAGCTGAGCCATGTTTTAAAGTCCGCTTCTCGCAGCAGCCAAGCTGTTATAGGAAACAGATGTTGACTCTGTCCTGTGTCTTTGTTTGCCTGAAGGAGCACGCCTCCTCATCGTGAAAGGTGCTGTTTCTTTGTATCCTGCTAGTTATCTTTGGGTGCTGTTAATCTGTCCAGGTTATTTGCATT